TGGCTCCAGGTTGACTGTGGGGGTTGAAAACTTTCCTGGCCTCTTGGAGTTGTTTTCCTGCCTGAAGGGGTTGTAGTGAGATTTAGGTAATTTCAGTTATTTGATGAGAACTCATTTTCATGTAGGGCAAAGCCAGATAATACAGCTCACCTTCACTGCCTCCTTGCTCTTCCTCAAATACACCGATCAGGACTTCTGCACTCACTGTTCCTGCGCCTGGGGCACTGTCCCACCAGATACTCACATGGCTCCTTCCCTTACATCATACCTGAAGTATCAGTCGGATCTAGAGACCTCTGATATCCTGAATGGTTACAGCAACTCGTCACTCTTCCCGTTTTTCTTTGTTGTGTATCCTTCCTGTGTTACATTATCTACTTATTCTGTGTCTCTTCCACTAAAAGACACTCTAAAGGAGAGACTTTGTCAACTGTGTTAGTTGCTAAGTTCCCAAGAAGCCTAAACCATGTAAGATAACTCCTGAAGTGCTCACTTGGGGGGTGTCCGGCAGGCTGGGTGGACGGCTCTCCTGGGGCCCCTGTTGCTCCATCTTGGAGCTGTTCTCGCAGGTTGGTTTCACCTTTAGACGATGAGCCCTTCCAGACCGAGTAGGTGTACCCAGATCAGGGCAGGAGGTACCCACTCGTGTTAACAGTAAGAAAGTTGAGACAAGTGTGGCCCCCATTCCCCCAGCTCACAGAGGTTACTGCCCACCCAACTGGTGTGGGATTTTCCTCCTGGGCTGTGCTTTCTACCCTTCCTGCCCCTCTACCCCAGGACCTGGTACTCAGCAGGTGCCCGTCATTCACTTCTTGTGTTGGGTGTGGTCAGGGGGAGTCAGGGGAGTCTGTGCTACTGTCATCCTCACCAGGGTCCCTGGGCGGCTCCTTAACCCCGAGAGGTGTGCACAGGTGTGAGGTGAGCACCCAGTAAATGATGGTTTCCTTCCTCTGCTGCCACCTGCCTCTTGGGCTTTCACCCAGCATGGGTCTTTTTTTTTTTAAATTTGAGAGGTAGAGTTAGACAGTGAGAGGGAGAGACAGGTCTTCCATCCACTAGTTCACTCCCCAAATGGCTGCAACAGCCGGAGCTGCACCATCCGAAGCCAGGAGCCAGGCGCTCCTGTGCAGGTGCAGGGGCTCAAGAACTTGGGCCATCTTCTACCGCTTTCCCAGGCCATAGCGGAGAGCTGGATGGGAAGTGGAGCAGCTAGGACTAGAACCGGTGCCCATATAGAATGCCGGCACCGCAGGCGGAGGATTAACCTACTGCGCCACAGTGCCGGCCCCCAGCATGGGTCTTAGCTATTGCCCACCCCTGTCTTGCAGCCCCGGCTTCCTCCGCACCCTGGCTGTGTGACTGTAGGAAGCCACAGGGGATTGGAGTGTCCAGGCCAGGCTTACAGTGCATCCTTCTGAGCTGGCTTCCTGTTCAGCTGTCTTTTCCTCCCAGTTTACCCAGGACAGTGGCCGTTCTCCTGCACCGGCCAGCCCGACAGTCACCTCCTGCAGAGCTTCCCTTGACCACCCCCCACAGGTGCACCTCTGCTTCCTCAGCTCGCAGCCACTGCACCTGGAGCAGGTGCCTGTCTCCCTCCTGCTGTACGGGACTGGGAGTCCTCTGAGAGCAGGGCTGGGCTTGAGTGACTGATCTTTCTATGCCCTCCCCCTCCCCCATGACCCCAGCACAGTACAGCGCCCAGCACCAGATAGGAAAGTCATAAATGTGGGCTAAGCTGAGCAAGTTCTCCTTTTCTGGGTCCAACTTTGCCCTTGGCATGGAGGGGACGAAGTCAGCAGGCTGGGTGGGGGAGTCAGAAGGATTTCTGGAAGGTGGGGACCTGGTGATTTCCCGCTCTTTTAAGCATCCATCCTTGGTTCCAAGCAGAGAGAGAGATCTCCAATCCAGTGAATCACTCCCCAAATCCCCACAGCTGCTTGGGTTGGACCAGGGTGAAGCCAGGAGCTCAGACCCTCCATCAGGGTCTCCTGTGCGGGTGGCAGGGGCCCAAGCATTTGATCCATCATTCGCTGCCTTCAAGAATGTATTAGCAAGACGCTGGATTGGAAGTGGAGAAGCCAGGACTCGAACTGGCAATTCAGTGTGGGACACGGGTATCCCACAGGGCAGTTTAATTGTTGCTGTGCCACAACACCCACCCCTTTTAAAAAATATATATTTATTTGAAAGGCAGAGGGGAGGGGAGAGGGAGAGCGAGCGAGAGTGAGCGAGAGCAAGCGAGCTCTTCCATTGCTGGTTCACCCCCAAAATGCGCTTTCAGGGCTGGGCCAGGCTGAAGCCAGGAGCCTAGAACCTGATCTAGGTCTCCCGCACCAACAGCAGGAGCCCAAGTACTTGAGCACCACCTGCTTCCTCCCAGGGTGCACGTTAGTGGAAACTGGGATTGGAAGTGGGGCCGGGATGGAACTGCAGACCAGGGCTGTGGTGTCTCCTGGGTGCTAGTCCTGGCAGTGGTCACTGTTCATCCGCCTCGCTTGCCAGGGCAGGAAGGGGTAGCTCAGGCAGAGGGAGCTCTCAGGGTCACGCAGCCAGTGAGTTGAGGTCGGAGAGGGCTGTGGGAGGAGCCGGCCTCGTGGAGCAGGGAGCGTTCACTCCATGACGTTCCGTGACCTTGTAGTCAGGCTCCTTGCGGGAGCACTCGGGCGGCTGTTACATCTACCTAGGCCTCCCTGCCGGAGGGCTGACGCAGAAGAGTTTCTCTGTTGCTCTGATTTCCCAGAGGGTTACGCGGCCATGGCACCCCGAGGTGCGAGCCCGTGTGGGTGTGGAGGGGAATTTTGATCAGCCAGAGGTGAAGCGAGGCATCGGCATCGGAGGCTCTGGGTGGAGGTGGCAGGGTCTGATCTGTGGAGCTGAAAGACTGTGCCGTACTTAGGGAGCTCAGGGGCTGTGCAGAGGTTGGTCCTGTCGTCTAGGGACAGGCACCACCTTCAGGGAGGGATGGAGGCTGGACTGTGACCCCGGTCAAAATGGTAGGGCCCAGTGGCCAGCAGCAGCAGCACCTGTGCCCTGTGGGACCAGTGGGCAGGCCTTTGGAGGTCTCTCCACTCGCAGCTTCCCCTGTGAGCGCTGGGCCATGCTGTCTGTCTCCCACTGCATTTTTTTTCTTTCCGATTTATTTATTTAGTTGAAAGTTGGTACTACAGAGAGAAAGAAAGAGAGGGAGAGAGAGAGAGAGGTCTTCCATCTGCTGGTTCACTCCCCCAAATGGCTTCAATGGCTGGGGCTGCGCCAGGCTGGAGCCAGGAGCTTCCTCTGGGTCTCCCACGTGGGTACAAGGCCCAAGCATTCTCTGCTGTTTTCTCAGGCCCATTAGCAGGAGCTGGATCTGAATAGAGCAGCTGGGATATGAACTGGCACCCGTATCAGGTACCAGCCCTGCAGAGAGCAGTTTTTTTTTTTTGTTTTTTAAGGTTTATTTATTTTACTTGAAAGGTGGAGTTACAGAGAGAGAGAGAGAGAGGCAGAAAGAAGGGAGATCTCCATCCGCTGGTTCTCCCCCTAGATGCCCCCCCAAAGGCTGAGCTGAGTCAATCTGAAGCCAGGAGCTTCTTCTAGGTCTCCCACATGACACAGGGGCCCAAGCACTTGGGCCATCCTCCACTGCTTTCACAGGCACATTAGCAGGGAGCTGGATCTGAAGTGGAGCAGCCGGGACTTGAACCGGCGCCCGTATGGTATTAGTGGCTCTTTTCAGGCAAGCACTGGGCCTGACCCTGCCATGTTTCCCCAGGCTGAACAGGTGTGTGATGGGGTACAATTGAAGGGATCAGGCAAGAGAAGCCCATGCAGGGCCCGGAGGAGCTGGGCTGCACAGTGGAGGGAGCTGTGAGGGCAAAGCCCAGAGGCAGGGATCACCAGCGAGCGGCCTGGTGGCTGATGGGAGGTCTGACCACAGCCAGGGAAGCCGAGGCCCGGGAGGCTGACAGAGAGGTGGGGCCTGCTGCTGGCCTGCGGCGTCAGGATCAGAGCTGTCCTGTCTATCCCGGGACTCTCTTCAGGGCTTTTTCCAGGAGGGAGCAGTAGTGCTGGCTGACACATTGCCCCAGGATTGCTGGTTACTGATCGGTGCCTGGTGCTCACGACAGCTGTGAAGCCGTCTCCCTCCCAGGAGACTGAGGCCCAAAACTACACAGGAAATGTGAATACTGCAATCACCCCCAGATTGGAGTGCAGAGCCCTGGCGAAGCCCCTCGAGGAAGGAGGCACCTGTCAGTGCCTCATTTGTCTGCCAGGGGACCCCAGCCATTCCAGAACCGCCTGCGGCTTTCCCAGACCCACCCGGCATGGACCTGTGCACCTCACAGTGAGGACCAGGCAGTGAGCAGGTGCACCTGAGTGCATGCTGTGGCCATCCGCACCGTCTGGCATTCCTCTCCAGCTGGCTGTAGCCAGGAGTCATCACTGGGCATGGAGTGTAGGAAGGAAGTATGTCCCGGCTCAAGTCCTGCCTCTGGTGTGCGCTGCCTCATGACTGGTACCCCTGAGCTTGTTTCCCCCTTGGTAAATGGGGATGAAATGACCCCTGCCCCTGCACAGAAGGATCTCTGTGACTCCCGAGGCCAGAGCCTGGTGTCCCCTTGCCACTGTAGTTATTGGCCGTCGTTATACATTCTCTGGGTGCCTCCTGCAGTCCCCTGCAGGGACCACTGAGTTTAACGGTTAAGCACCATTCTCCCTGCAAGCGCCAGGGTGTCCTGTGCAGTGCTGGAGCCCAGGCCATGCTTGGGAAAGAACGAGGGACTCGTGCAGCCTCTGCCCATCGAGGGCTCCACACCAGCTCCGAGTCCGTGGGGCGTGGGCGTGGAGGGCAGCAGTGTGGGCTGATTCACGTGGTCCCCCCAGGCCCAGGGAGGGTCATGGTGCCTGGGCACCCCCCACCTGTGAAGTGGGATGAGAGTGGCTCACAGGGCTGCCCGGTGGGGTGCGGGCGGCGGCACCCTCCCCCTGCTCACTGGTGGCCTGCGCTCTCTCCCCAGAGACTGATGGAGAGGCAGAAACGGAAGGCGGACATCGAGAAGGGGCTGCAGTTCATTCAGTAAGTGGTGGGGAGTGGGCGGGGCAGGAGGAGCAGGAGGGGCAGGGGCGGGCCCTCCCAAGGCCCTGCCCCCTCCAGCCCTCCTTGCTGCCTCGGGGCCTCTGCTGGTCGGGCTCCTGTGTGCCTGGGGGTGAGCTGGGGAAGGGCTGGTATGGCAGGGCTGTACCCCGAACCCTGGTTGCCCCTCGGCCTCATCCAGCACGTGGCTCCCTTTGATTCTCACGCATGCCTACATGCATCGCCTCATTAGCCAGTAGTTATGTCTCTGGCTCCATGCTGGCCTTTCACATCCACCCATCATTTTTCACAACTGCCCAGTAAAGTAGGTGACCTATTTCCATTTTGCAGATGAGAAAGCTGAGGCTCAGAGAGATTAGAAAATTTGTTAAGGTCACAGGGCTTTTGAGGGACAGCATTCTAAGCCAGGTGTGGCGACCCCAAAGTGCCTGACTCCCCGCACTCGCATCCCATGTTTGTTTTTGCTGTTTCCCTGTTTCCCTGATACTCGTGATGCGTGGGCTTCTTGGCCCCGTCTTGCATGGGCCTGCTCCATGGCCCTGGAGACATGCACCTTGGCCATTCTGTCTTCACAGTTGTGTGTTCTTTTTCTCAAACAAGGCTCCCCATAAAATTGAAATTTGTCCTACATACCCTTTTAATTGGTTTTAAAGATTTATTTATTTGAAAGTCAGAATGACAGAGGCAGGGAGAGAGAGAGAGAGAGAGAGAGAGAGAGAGATCGATCTTCCATCTCCTGGTCCCCCCCTCAAATGCCTGCAATAGCCGGGGCTGGGCCAGGCTGAAGCCGGGTGCTGGGAACTCAGCGTGGGTGGCAGGGACACAAGTACTTGAGCCCTCAACCTGCTGCCTTCCAGGTTGTGCCTTAGCAGGAAGCTGGAGTCAGGAGCAGGCACTCTGGCACGGGATGTGGGTGTCCCAGGCGGCATCTAACAAACACTTGCCCCCAGTCTCACTATTTCCCCCACTCCAGCACTGTTTTTGCACACATGTACTTCATGTGCTTAGCAAGCCTCGGTGGGCACCTCTGGGCACAGAGCACTGTGGGAGCCGTTAAGTGAATTTGGACAGGTGGATTGGCACTGGCTTGCAGAGGGCCCTAAGTACCAGGCTAAAATGTCTTTTACAACGTGGATGTCTCCGACAGATGAGGCGCAGCTTGGAAGAGGAGAGGCTGGAGACAAGCTAGAAGGACAGTGATGGGGGCCTGGCTGGGCAGGGTGGCCACAGGAGGGACAGACACGTGCAGCAGTCCTGGTCTCTGGCGGGGGTGATGCCAAGTCCCCACGCGATATCAGGGACACCTCACACGCATCCGCACACAAACACCATGCGCACACACGCCCCGGGCCTCCTGCCCCTCCTCTCACGCTGCTTCTCCTCACTCACTCAGGATGCTGCTGTCCAGGAGCAGGTGGCAGCTCTGGGCAAAGAGCAAGCCCCAGGCTCCCTCTGACGCTGTCTGACCTCGGGCATGTCACTGCCCTACCCTGAGTGTCTGTGAAGTGAGGGACCAGGAGACAAGCCCAGGTTCCCTTCAGCTCAGCCACGGCGCCCGACGCGCGGGTCTCAGTTCTCCTGGCCGACATTTTCTTCCCTACGGAGTGGTGTGATGTCACCATGGGAGAGAGGAGGCTGCTGCAGACCCCGCCTAATTTGATGAGTCTGGCACGAGGGCTTGACAGGCTCAGAGTAGACCTGGCACTGGAACCGGCGAGAGACTGAGGGGCCTGGGGCAGACTCCTGGTGCCTCAGCTCCCATTGACTCCAGTTCTGGATTTGGCTTACCGAGGGCGTGGTTACTCCCGAGGCCCGCTTTGCCTTTGCTGTCCCCACTGCTCCTGGTACGGGAGCCCCTGCCCCTTCCTCTTTCTGGCACTGAGCTAGAGCCTGGGCCAGCATCGGCTCTGCAGGCCAGAGGCTGGTTTCCCTCTTCCCGCGTTTTTCCAGCCCTGGGGCCCGAGGTGGGGCCTTCATAAGGCTGGGAGCCCTGGGCTCACCAAGACCTTGCATCCCTCTCTTCCTGCTAGGTCGACACTACCCCTAAAGCAAGAGGAGTATGAGGTGAGTGTCGGCTGCCGGGCTGGCTGAGGGTGGAGGTGCAGGGCGGAGTCTCCAGAGCAGAGGGATGTGGAGGCTGGGCCTGCTGGAGAAACCCCCTGAGCCCCCGTGCGCCCTCCCCCAACAGGCCTTCCTGCTCAAGCTGGTGCAGAATCTGTTTGCGGAGGGCAATGACCTGTTCCGGGAGAAGGACTATAAGCAGGCCCTGGTGCAGTACATGGAGGGGCTGAACGTGGCCGACTACGCAGCCTCCGACCAGGTGGCCCTGCCCCGGGAGCTGCTGTGCAAGCTGCACGTCAACAGGGCGGCCTGCTACTTCACCATGGTGAGCCCGGCCCCCGCTCTGCCGGCATGGCCCCCGGGGCACCCAGCGAGCCCAGTTCGAATCTCACCTGCTGCTGCTGTAGCTACACGGCAGATTGACCTGGAGAGCTTTTAGAAGTACTTACATGTAATGAAAAGTTTTGGAAAAACCAATCCTGGTGCCCCTAACCTTGCCACAGATGGATTAAGTAAGAATCCTAGGGTGACCTGGACATTGGTGGGAGTCTCCGCCTGTCCCCGTCCTCCATCCCAGCCTCCCTCTCCTGTCCCACACCCTCAGGCCCTCACTCTGTCTTCCCAGACTTCCAGTCTCCTCCTCCTCCTCCTCCTCCTGCAGAGCTCTGGCCTCCTGCTCCTCCCTGCCCTGCTCTCTGCTGGCCCAGTCATTCCTCGAGTCCTGTGAGAGTCTCTGCTGGGGGCTCTCAGAGGGTCCGGGAGCTCGTCTGCAGGCCGGGGTGGGCTCGGCTGGCCAGTGAGTCTCCAGATGCTGGGTTGACCCTTCACACTGGGCTGCGGGGCCGTGATCTCACTTCCCAAGGGGCCCTCGCTCTCAGCCCCGTGGCATCTGAACCAAAGGCAGGTGTGCAGATAGACGCGCTCGAGTGACCAGGCCCTTGATCTGAGCCTGACCCCAAATGCTCCCTGCTCTCTCCAGCCTGTCCTGACCCCACCCTTAGCGCCCAGGGAAGAGCCACCTGCACAGCCCGAGGTGGGGCAGGAGGCCCAGGGGAGGGCCGTACAGGTGCTGACCTGTGGGCTGCCTGCCCCTCTCTGCAGGGCCTGTATGAGAAGGCACTGGAGGACAGCGAAAAGGCGCTGGGCCTGGACGGCGAGAGCATCCGGGCTCTGTTCCGCAAAGCGCGCGCCCTCAACGAGCTGGGACGCCACAAGGAGGCCTACGAGTGCAGCAGCCGCTGCTCCCTCGCCCTGCCCCACGTGAGTGCAGCCCTGCGTCCACGCCCGGGCGGCTCCTGTGCAGGCCCCACACCCTCCGCTCTGGCCCTCCCTTGGGCCACGCCACCCCGGCTTTCTGAGCCTCGGCTCCCTCCCCGGTGACGAGGAGCTGCAGATGCGGTGGGGGCACCAGCTGATGTTCTCTGAGCCCTGACTCTGCGCTGGGTGTGTTAACTCTGTCCTCGCGGCAACCCTGGGAGGCGGCTGCTGTTACTACCCCTGTTTTAAATGGGACGGAAACAGGAAAGGCAGGAACTTACCCAGGTCGCAACAGCCAGGGGGTGGCAGAGCTGAGGTTTGAACCCAGCCCGCTTCTTGAGCTGGGGCTCTTCCCTTCTGCATCATAAGAACATGGGGTTTCAGGGTTGAAAGGGGGCCGGGGTCCTGATGTTGGGGCTGCCACTGGGTGGGAAAGAGACTATGGGAAATGAGCGATAGAGAATGTGTAAGCTGTCCCCTACTACCTGCTCACGGTTGGACACGTGCCCTTCCTCCATTTATCTGTCCACGTAACAGTGTAATAGTGTAACAAGTGTAATAGTGTAACAAGTGTCCCTTAACTCCCCATGTATCTGTCCACTTCAATATATTACTGAGTGCCCACAGGGTACCCAGATCAGTACCCTTAGGGACCTACAGCTCACTGGAGACAGTGGGAACAGCCCTAGGGTTAGACTTTGCTCCCCTGACCCCCAGTGTGACCTTGAGCAATGCACTTCCTGTCTCTGCGTATCAGCTCAGAACTATGAAGTGTCCTTCTTACTTCATCCCTGAAATAATGGTTGGGAAAAGGTACATGCTGCCCAGGAGTGGTCAGGATCCAGGAGGGCTCCCTGGAGGAGATGGGCACATGTAGGGCTGGAAGAAGCAAGAAGGGTTTGGGTGGGCAGAGCGGAGGGCAGCACTGTGCACAGTGAGCAAAGATGTGGGTGCAGGAGATCTGGCCTGGGTCTGCTGCCCACCAGCCGTGGGACCCTTGCCGTGGCTTAGCCTCTGGTAGCCTTGGTTTACTGCCCGGTCAAATGGGACGGCAGTGCAGCACACATTACAGAGCCGTGCTGAAGGTAGGATCAGAGCCAGGCAGTTAGCACAGTGGCCAGACACGCTGAACATTCAGGATTTGTTAGCTGTTGTCGCTCTGTGGCTTGCTTGTGTTCGTCTGGCCTCCCTAATTCAGGTGAGTTCCAAACCGGAAACCACCTTTCTGACAATAGCCCCTGACCCCATCGCATTTCACAGCGACCACAGCAGCCCACTGTGTACTCACCCGTGAGAGGGACAGGGTAGTGCTGTCCCCACTCCAGCCCACCGGAGAGGGCTGGTACACTGCTGAGCCAAGGACTGGGCATCTGTCCTAGGGAACACCTCTTCTCCCAGTCTTCGCTGGGCACATACTGACTGAGCCCCTGTTCCAGGCTGGGCGCTGGGCGCCTCGGACCCAGGCGCTGGCCTCCGGGGCTCTTCAGGAGTGAAGGTTGCCGCAGTATCCCTTGTCCTTGGTGCCTTGGACCAGGGTGTGGCCCTGATCGTTTGTCTACTGACTGACTGATGCCCTCAAGTAGACTGGAATCCCCATGTGACCTGGGTCCCGTCTGTTCTGTTCACTGCGGTGTCACTCGCCCCTGGCCTCGTGCCTGGCGCTGAGTGCATCAGCATATGGGGGGGGGGCACAAGGGTCACTAGGCTACCCCACATCCTTGTTTGTTGGGCCTCATGACCCACGTGTCCTCGCTGGTCAGTGCTTCCAAGACACTGGTGATAGAAGAAAGGTGGAGGACAGCAGGTATAACATCGTCCCATTTATGTAAAAACAGAGAGAGAGAGAGAGAGAGAGAGAGAGAGAGAGAGAAAAGGCCCATAAAACAGAACGAAGTGTTCCCGTAGGTCTGCGTGTGTATGCTCCCAGAAAGGGTCTGCAACAAAGCACATCAGGTCAACAAAGCACTGGGACCCTCTGCTGAGGAGCCGACGATGAGAGGGGGCGACCCAGGAGCACCTGCTCGCTCTGCTACAGTGACACTGTTACATGCTGACTGCAGAAATAAAAAGATGAGGGTGGACTTGGGCTTAGCCATTAAGATGACACTCGAGACAACTGTACCCTGTATGACAGTGCCTGGCCCTGAGTCCTGGTTCCTGACTCCAGCCACCTGGCGGTGCAGAGCCTGCGAGGCAGCAGTGAGTGCTCAGGTGACCGGGTTCCCGCCTCCCACGTGGGAGACCTGGATTGAGTTCCCAGCTCCTGGCTTCAGCCATGGCCCAGCCCCAACTGTCGCAGGCATTTGGGGAGTGAACCAGCAAGTGGAAGCTGTCTGTCTGTCTGTCTTATCTTTTTCTCTGTGTGTGCACCTCAAATGAAAAATAAATAAATGAAAGAAAAATAAAAAGATAATATTAAAACAGAAACATGAGGTTGGCGCTGTGGCATAGTGGGTAAAGCCGCCGCTGCAATGCTGGCATCCCACATGGGCGCTGGTTCTAGTCCAGGCTGCTCCGCTTCCAGTCCAGCTCCCTGCTAATGTGCATGGCAAAGCAGCAGAAGATGGCCCAAGTGCTTGGGCCCCTGTACCCATGTGAGAGACCGAGATGAAGCTCCTGGCTCCTGGCTTCAGCCTGGCCCAGCCCCAGCCATTGCAGCCATTTGGGGAGTGAACCAGCAGATGGAAAATCTCTCTCTCTCTGCCTCTGCCTCTGCCTCTCCCTCTCTGGAACTCTGCCTTTCAAATAAATAAATCCTTTTTAAATTATTTGACAGAGTTATAGACAGTGAGAGAGAGAGACAAAGAGAAAGGTCTTCCTTCCATTGGTTCACCCCCAAAATGGCCGCCACGGCTGGCGTGCTGCACCGATCCGAAGCCAGGAGCCAGGTACTTCCTCCTGGTCTCCCATGTGAGTGCAGAGGCCCAAGCACTTGGGCCATCCTCCACTGCCCTCCCAGGCCACAGCAGAGAGCTGGACTGGAAGAGGAGCAACTGGGACTAGAACCCGGTGCCCATATGGGATGCTGGTGCCACAAGCGGAGGATTAACCAAGTGAGCCACAGTGCTGGCCCCAATAAAATAGATCTTAAAAATGTAGAAACAAATTCAGCCTTTTCCCTCTCCCAAAATAAAAGGGAAAACAAAAGTGTGGGTTCGAGGCACCAACCTCACACGTCTCTGGCTGAGTGTTGTGGGAAAGCCAGGTTCACTTCCAGAGGCCTCCCTCTTGTCTGTAATGTGGGGCAGCCATGTCCCCCACACGCCTCAAGGCTACACAAGTGTCTGGGGCACAGCTCTGGGAGCCAGGGCAGGCTAAGCCACCAACCCCGTGTCTTCCCAGGATGAAAGTGTCACTCAGCTTGGTCAGGAGCTGGCTCAGAAGCTTGGGCTGCGAGTGCGGAAGGCATATAAGAGGCCCCAGGTAGGTGGGCATCGTGCCCTGGGGAGGGCGGGGGTGCCGGTGAGGAGGGGTGGGGGGAGGGTGGATGTGGGTGGCCAGAGACAGGTTAGGATGGAGGGTAGTGACAGCAGGTGGACTCCGTCTCTTGGCTGAATGCTGTGGAGTGACTGCAGAGCCTTGTGGGAAAGGAAAGAGCAGCCAAGGCTTCCAGCTCATCCAAGATGCCAGGTCTCCCTCCCCCGCCCTGGCTGACTTCAACGCCCCTGGTGATGGCCTGAGATGATGCTGGCGTCCTTTAGCCCGCTGTTCTCAGGTTACCCCCGAACGGTGCATCTCTGAAACTCCAGTGTCCGCTTGGCTCGTTCAGGCTCACGTATGTTCATTTGGCGCCTACCGTGTGCCAGGAAGCCACATGCAGTGAAGCGTGGGGCTCCAGAGCCTCAGCCATGACCCTGGGCAAGTTAGGTCATCGCTGTCCACCTCGGTTTCCTCACCTGCAAGACAGGGGCGGTTGTGCCGGTCTCAGAGGGCTTGCGGGAGGAGTAACACGGGAGGATGTTGGGATAGCACCTGGGACAGTGCCTGACACAGTAGGACCAGGTGTGTGGAGGAGGAAGACCCAGAGAGACAGGGCAGGGAGCCGTGGAGGCCACACGTGTGCGGGCATCTCTCCAATCTTCCTCCTTCTCCCACCTCTGGCAGGAATTGGAAACCTTTTCTCTGCTCAGTAACGGCACCGCGTCTGGCGTGGCAGATCAGGTAGGACTGGGACTGGAGCCCCACACCCCTCCCCAGCCCTGTGCCAGCCTGCCTTGCTTCGTCCATCGTGAGAGCTTGGGTGTAAACAGCCTCAGGCCGCGAGAAGGTTCACCCGTCCCCACAACCTCGCTGGGCCCCCGCCACGTTCACGAGGTCAGGACTGGTCAGTTACGGAGGGCGGGTGAGGAGCCCAAGCAGAACAGACAACATGACAGAAGGGCCCAGGTCAGGCTTGTGTCTGTCCCTCACGCTCACACGCTGTCGCTGACACTCAGTCACACTCACACACACTGTGACAGACACTCCTATGCTCTCTGATTCGCACACAGTGATGCACACACACATGCTCACACTGTCTCACACTTATATTCCCACACACTGATACACACACACACACACACACACACACACACACCCCGAGGGACCCCTCCTCTTTACCCCCGTACTTCAGGTGCTTGCTATGGTGACCGCAGCTCCCCGATGCAGCGTGATGGCCGTGGTTTGTGTGGTCTATCTGATGCCCGTTTTCCCTGTGCACTCCCTGGGCAGGCCAGGGGTGTGGGAAGGCAGCTCCCAATGGGGGTGAGGCTGGAGAAGTGCTTGAGGGGGGTCAAGGTCAAGGCAGGCCCTGCGTCAGCATCCCCACTCCATACAGCAGTCCCGTCCCCAAGGCTGAACGTGAGGTTCTGGCCTGGCTTCTGGGAGGTCAGCGCCGAGTGGGTCACCCTGACTGCGGCCGCTGAGTCCCAGGTGCAGATGGCTCGTGTGTGTGTGTGTGTGTGTGTGTGTGTGTGTTGGGGGGGGGGATCTGGTCCTTCCCTGCCCTCTGCAAGAACACAGATGGGGAAGGGTCACTCAGAGCCTCACCAGGAAAGCAAACCTTGAGCTGGATGGGGAAGGAGTCAGCGAGGAGGGGAGGTGGGGAGGAGGGTCAGGGCAGAGCAGTGACCTGCGCCCCAGCCTGGAGGGGGAGCGTGGGGGCCGCTGGAGGAGACACCCAGTCCAGCAGGCTGACCTCCTGCTGGCCCCGCACCTGCTAGACAGGTGGAAAGCAACCGCCCGTGGGCCGGCCTTGCTGGGCCCTTCTCAGTCATGGAGCCCTGTGTCCTGAGAACAGTTCCTGTCTCCTCCTGTCACAGAGAAGGGCAGGGACTCGGCCGGGTCACAGAGCAGCCCAGGCCTAGCTTTCTGTCCAGCTGAAGGCTCCTGGAGACAGCAGGATCCCTCCTCCAGCTGCTCCCCCCTTCTCTGCTTCCTAGGGAGCTTGGGGCTATAGGTGGGGGGTGGGACGCTGATGAAGGCAGTGGGCATTTTTGTCTTTAAGCTACAAACTCGGTAAAGCCCTTCCCCAGCCCTCCCCTGGGTGTGGAGCCCACCTGGGACTTGTGGGGACATCCCCTGCCGCTGCTCCCATGCCGACAGCTTGTTTGCTACACACACACACCCCACCTGCCCTGGCCAGTGCGCCGCCAGCCCCATGCTGGGCACGGCAGGGAGGGAACCCACATGTGTGAGGTGTGTGAGGCTGCGGAGCTCCCTGGCACCAGTCGCCAGCACGGCCCCTGCACTGAGTCTGCCTGACCTCCCTCCCCGCCCTTGTCCTTTTCCACAGGGAACTTCCAATGGATTGGGGTCCATAGATGACATCGAAACAGGTAGTGTCCCTGAGGGGAGGGGGGAGAGGTGGGCCCAAGGTGAGGGGTCAGCTCCTCATCCCCAAGGCCCTGGGAGGTCAGGCAAGTCAAGTCCACTGTGTGCCTGCCCTGCGAGGCCTGGGATGGACTGAGGAGGGGAGGGGCACTCCAGGCCTCCCCCACTGGGAGTCCACCCTTCAGAGGCCCCCTTCCCCCTCCTCTTGCTCACTGAAAAGTGTCCCATGCAGAGAGCATTGAAGAGGCTGGGTGATGTCTAGGCACTGAGCTGGGGCAGTTGGGGGAACACCATAGGACTAGATGACCCCCCCCCCAGGCTCTGGGCCACCATCCTTGCCTGCTACTGTGCCCCTCTGCTGGGGCAGGCCCATGGGGAGGCCCTGGTCACCTCCATTCCCACCAGGCTGCTGAGCCCATCTCCCATCCACAGACTGCTACGTGGACCTGCGAGGCTCCCCGGCTCTCCTCCCCTCCACCCCCTCGATGCCCCTGTTCCCTCATGTCCTGGACCTGCTGGCCCCCCTGGACAGCAGCATCAGGGCCCTCCCCGGCACGGAGAGCCTGGACGACTTCTCGGATGGGGATGTCTTTGGTCCAGAGCTGGACACCCTCCTGGACTCGCTGGTGAGCCACACCGCCCTCCTGCCCCTCAAGCCCTGATCCCACCGGGTACCGTGCTGTCCTGTGAGGGGTGGGGGAGGGCCCTGTCTCCACATCACACTTGGGGAAACTGAGGCCCAGGGGGATAGAAAAGAAGCTGCAGAACAGACCCCCCGGGGAAGGGCTGTGAGGAGCCCCAGCTCTGCCTCCTGGGGCAGCTTAGGGCCGAGCCGCACCCAGGGGCAGAGTGCCCAGTTCTGCCCAGGTCTGGTGGTCGCCTCCTCTGACCCCACTCCGTCCCCACCCGCAGTCTCTGGTCCAGGGTGGCCTGCCCGGCGGCGGCGTGCCTAGTGAGTTGCCCCAGCTGATACCCGTGTTTCCCGGCGGGACCCCGCTGCTGCCACCCGTGGTGGGCGGCTCCATCCCCGTCTCCAGCCCACTGCCCCCTGCCTCCTTTGGCCTCGTCATGGACCCCTCCAAGAAGCTGGCCGCCTCTGTGCTGGACGCCCTCGACCCCCCAGGCCCCACACTGGACCCCCTGGACTTGCTGCCCTACTCGGAGACCCGACTAGACGCCCTTGAAAACTTCGGGTCAACCCGCAGCTCCCTGGACAAGCCCGACTCCTTCCTGGGTGAGGCCTGGGTGGGCACGTGTGTCCCCCACCCCCTGACACTTTGCATGGGGCTGGCACATCTCTAGTCTCTGGAGAGTGGAGGCAGAATTAGCTCTGACCCCGTGGCGGCCAGGGTCACGTGTTCCTGTTGTGTTGTGCTCAGTGCAGGACTGAGGCCTAAGCCAGTGGCGTCTTGTTCAGGATCAAAGAGAGCAGAGCTGGGATAGTTATGGATCCAGTTGCCTAGTCTAGGGCTGTCTGCCCACCCTCTTGGGCCCTGGGGGCCCCACAGGGATGATCCTGAGGCTGGGGGCAGGCAGAAGCCACAGGCCCCTTGGTGCTGGTGGGACTGGCTTGTGGGTGGGCAGTCAGACCTTAGCCCAGGGAGACTTCCTGGAGGAGGTGATGGCTGGGCAGGATCCTGAAGAAGTCCATCTGTTGGGCATATGGTGCCAGGGCACTGGCCTGGCATGTATAGGGGCCGGCCGGTGACCAGCGCAGTTGCTGCAGGGGAGTGTTGGCTGGAATGCTGGTCTCAGGGACCTAGGAACCAAGCGCAGGAGTTGGGGGCCGTGGGAGCCTCAGAAGGTTTAAGTAAGAGCTGGACGCTTGGACTGGGAGCCTCTGCCGCAGGGCAGTGGCCGAGAGGGTGGAGAGGTCGGCACAGCCTGAAGGCCTCTCTGAGCCAGAAATGCATGAGCGGAGGCCTGGGGAGGCCTCTGCTGCCTGCAGGTCCAGCCCTGGTGACCCTTGTGTCTTCTCCCTGCCCAGAGGAGACCAACTCGCAAGACCACCACCCCCCAAGCAGTACTCAGAAACCAGCCCCATCAGTGAGTACCTTGGGGACCCCATGGCCAAGCCCTCCTGGGAAAGGGGTAGGGGGTGAACCCCCTGCATGGGGTCAGGTGATACAAGGAGAGGCACCCACAGAGTGGACAGGCCAGAGCTGGGCTAGCCCTTCTCCCCCAGCTGCCTGCTGGGAGAGCACACAGCAGGCCTCGTCCACCCTTGCAGGTGGCCAGGGACATCCAGGCTCAGAGAGGTTAAGTGACTGCCCAGGGTTCATCGTTGGTCTCCAAACTCAGGAGGCTGACCGGCAGCAGGGCAGCCTTACCCTGACCTCAGCCTGGGCTCCAGCTGTGTGGCCCCAGGGAAGTCACCTCATCTCTAAATCTCACCTTCCTCCCTGTCTGCTGATGGCCTGGCCTTGGGGTTTGTTTGGTGTGGGGGGAGTGCGTGCAGAGGCTCCAGTCAGACCACTCCTGCCTTCACCCAAGGAGTGGTTCTGGGCTGGGATCACTGTCACCCACTAGCCTAGGGGCTTGAGGCCAGGAGCATCCTGATATTCGGGGCTCCTGGGTAATAAGGGTTGGGAACATCCTAGGTTCTTGTTCTACTCTTGGGTGGGATGGGGGCTTCCTGGAGCAGCCCCCCACCTCTAGTGCCCAGCCTGGCCCTGGCGGTTCCAGCCATCACCCAGGGCCCAAACCGACCACCCCTTCCCCTCACAGCCAGAGCCCTCCATGCCCAACACGGCCTTGCTCATCAAGAACCCCTTGGCGGCCACCCACGAGTTCAAGCAGGCCTGCCAGCTCTGCTACCCCAAGACAGGTAACGCTGCCCCGCCAGCTGCCTCCCCCCGCCCCAGGGGCCCAGCGTGAAGGAACCCAGGGCGTCAGCTGGAAGAGAGTGTGGGGAATGAAGGGGTGAGCACCCGTCAGCCTGCCCTCTGCCAGGCCCCGTCTTCACTGTTCTAGAAACAGCGAGTCGGGAAGTGGTAGGAAGCGGGTGGAGGGAGAGAGTGGGCTCCTTGGAGGGGTCTCCCACAGCACTGGGGCCCCCTGGCTCTGAGGCACGTGGGTGCTCGGGAGAGGGCAGGGGAGCCCATCCCTGCACCCTGCCCGGGCCCACCAGCCGTCGCCCTCGTCCTCCCTGCCCACAGGCCCCAGGGCCGGCGACTACGCCTACCGCGAGGGCCTCGAGCACAAATGCAAGCGGGACATCCTGCTTGGCCGCCTCCGGAGCTCCGAGGACCAGGCCTGGAAGCGGATCCGGCCTCGGCCCACCAAGACCAGCTTCGTGGGCTCCTACTACCTGTGCAAAGGTGGGTGGGCCGTGGCAGGAGCCGGCAGCACAAGCAGAGCCCAGCTCCCCCCACCCCCATACCAACTGCCCCTCCACTCCTCCTAAAAGTACACAGAGCAGGTGTAGTTTCCACGGCACAAGTGGGAGCTGAGGGGGCTCCCGGGGCCCATCAAGGCCAAGTGCAATCAAAGTAAATAGGCATCTCCTGCCCTGGATGGCTCTCTGGACAGGTGGGGGACCTCCGTGCTTGTGTCCTCCAGCTGGCTATAGCCAGTGTGTGGAGAGCCAGTTCTGTTAGCCTTCCAGGTCCCACAGGGCTGCTGGGAGGAGGGGAAAGAAGTGGCGTGTGTGCTCAGGGCTCCGTGAACTTCGGCTCTTCTCAGCTGCACGTTGCTATCATTGTCCTCACTCTGGCTCGTGTCAGTTGTGTTGGTGTTGAACGGACACTCGTCACCTGCCTCGCTGGCTTTCCTCTGTTCCCCACCCTGGCTCCTTGGGCCAGTCTGCTCTGCCGTCGGCTCTGCAGGAATCAGGAGGTTGTTCACACCTTGGAGTGCTCACTGTCGTGCCTCCTTAACAACTCTGAGCTAAGAAGTTGAGGCTTTGAGAATCCACCCCAGGCTCTGCCTTTGTCCCTGCACCCAGCCCAGGACCTTGGGTCTCCCGGGCCTTCTGGACCAGCTCGAGCCTGGCTGGTTCCAGGTCGTCTGACCTCTGCCCTCCTAGGTCTCCATCAGACCACTGCCTGTAGCCATGGGATAAGTCCAGATTCCACACTGAGGCGTATGAGTGCCCACATCCACCTCCTACTCCCTCTGTCCCAACCATTCCCAAAACACACTGTGCCCTTTGGCCTCTGCTCCATCTCTGTAAGTGCACCTGGTCTTGGGAAGCCTTCCCTGCACTGCCCCTACCCCGTCGCCTCCAGAAACACTCCCCTGTGCCCCTGGGTGCCTAGAGCCTGCGGGGGGGGGGGGGGGACAGCACAGGGCAGACAGAGAGCAGGTCCCACCCCGGAGGTGCAGGTTTCCAGATTCTAAGCCTGCTTTCCCTTCTGCAAAGACCCCCACCCCCACTCGTTGCCCACAACAAGCCCGCGTCCCTTGCTTATGGAGAAGCCCGTTGTGGGGGCAGGCGCTGGGTGCGGTGGGTCAGATGCCATTTGGGATGCTTGCCTCCTGTATCGGGGCTCCTGGTTTCAGTCCTGGCTCTGCTTCTGGTTCCTTCTTCCTGATGGTGTGCACGCTATGAAGCAGCAGGTGCTTGGGTCCCTGCCACCCGCATGGGAGACCTGGCTGGAGTTCTGGGCTCCTGGCTTTGGCCAGGCCCAGCCCTGGCTCTTGCAGCCATTTAAAGCATGAACCAGGGGATGGAAGATCTGTGTCTGTCTCTGTCTCCCTCTCTCTCTGCTTTCAAATAAATAAGTTTTAAAAAGATGTGGTAGGAGGGGTCGGCATTATGGCACAAGTGGGTCAAGCTGCTATCTGCAATGCCAGCATCCCATAGATAGGGGCTCTGGTTTGGGACCGGGCTGCTCCACTTCTGATCTAGCTCCCTGCCGCTGTACCTGAGGAAGTAGCAGAAGATGGTGCAAGTGCTTGGGCCCATCCCACCCATGTGGGAGACCTGGATGGATTTCTGGTTCTTGGCTTCAGCTTGGCTCAGCCATTGGCTGTTTTGGCCATCTGGGGAGTGAACCAACAGATGGAAGATCTCTTTCTCTGTCTCTTTTGCTGTCACTTCACCTTTCAGATAAATAAGTAAATAAATATTTTAAAAAAAGAAAGAAAGAAAAGTTAGTTGGGACGCAGGGGTGCTGGGAATCCCAGCCTGGGTCTGTGTGACTCCAAGGCCACACTCTTAGCTGTGTGGATTTAGTTTCCTGGTGAAAATGGATTTTTACTCCTATGTATGTGGAGGCTTGAGCACTTTTACAAAGCCCTTTCCCTTTTATCCTGCTTGATCCATACAAGGCAGCCCTGTTGTGTGTGGGGGTGGGGGAGGTAGGGGCAGGAATGATCGCCGAGCCCCACAGAAGGGCCTGCATCTGGGGAGGGCATCCCAGCCTTGCCCCTCCGCTCCTGCCGGGCCCTGTGGGGTGGAGCCAAGTCCTGCTGGCTGTGGCCGGGTTGCGGGGGCACCGTGGGCTGCCACCCCGCCTGGCGGAACGTGTGTCCTGTTGCCTCTTTGCAGACATGATTACCAAGCAGGACTGTAAGTACGGGGATAACTGCACCTTCGCCTACCATCAGGAGGAGATCGACGTGTGGACGGAGGAGCGGAAGGGCACCCTCAACCGAGACCTGCTCTTCGACCCGCTGGGGGGCGTCAGGCGCGGCAGCCTCACCATCGCCAAGCTCCTTAAAGAGCACCAGGGCATCTTCACTTTCCTCTGCGAGGTACCTGCCCCGGGCGTGCCCAGCCCCTGGCGTGGGCACTGGGGTGTGGGAGGCTTGGCCTTAGAACCAGCAGGTCCCTGGATTCGGAAAGTTGGGCCCCGAGGATCCTGCCTTTAGAGCCCAGATCCTACCCAGCCCCTCGTCTTGCAAAGGTGGAAGCTGAGGCCAGAAAGAGAAGTCGTAGCCCTCACCCTGCTGCTTCCCGACAGTGGTCAGCTGCCAGGCTTGGGCCGAGGGGTTGGGTACTCATCCCGTCCTGCAACAGTGAGGGCGGGTGGATTCGCCTCGTTTTACTGAAGCTGAGGTTCAGGGTTCGAGGCTCTTCTCACATGGCCGGAACGCGTGGGGCTGTGCTGCAGATGGCGGAGTCCAGACTCCTCAGTCCCTCCTGGGAGTGGCATGGTTGGTGCTGCTCATCTGTCCCCAGCAAGGTGTCCACGGCCTCGCTCTTCCCACCTGCCTCTGTGTGCCCTCCCCTGCAGCCAGGCCGGCTCTAGTGCACCTCCCTGCCCGTTCCCAGACGTGTCCTCTCCCTGGAGTGCCCGCCTGTGGTCCCAGCAGCTCCACTGAGTTTCCTGCCCCAGCCTCCCTGTGAACTTGGCCCTGCCTCCCCACCCTGCTGTAGCATGTTGAGGGTGGAGGCAGTGTCGTGTCCTGGAGCAAGGGTCTGCACCGCCCCTTCCCCCCACCCTTAGCCAGGCGCACTTGGCTGGCCCTGCTCAGGAGTCCGGCTCACAGCTGGGACGCAGCAGGCAGTTCACAATGCACCTGCAGGTCCTTCTTTGATCTTTTGGCCTTCACAGTGAGCCTATGGTTACTCCCAGTTTACAGTCAGGGAAACTGAGGCTCAGGGACCAGAGTAACCCCTTGCTCCAGGCGTGTGGAATGGTGGCATCAGAGAGAGGGGGCAGGAAGAGGAAGCAAGCCAACACAGGTCATCGGGACCCTAACTCAGGGCAGGGCTCGCAGGGACCAAGCTGCCCATCCCCTGGTGGCCTTGTGGGGTCCCAGCCCACCTCCTCCCTGGCAGATCTGCTTCGACAGTAAGCCCCGGATCATCAGCAAAGGCACCAAGGACTCTCCTTCCGTCTGCTCCAACCTGGCTGCCAAACACAGCTTCTACAACAACAAGTGAGTGGCACCCACTGCTGCTCTGGGGGTCGGGGGTGCTAGAGAGGCTCCCAGGGCAGCTTCGATAGCCGGGGACGGCAGGCGCCACGGATCCAGCCTCCACGTGGAAAGCATAGGAGCCCCAGTTATCAAGTATCTATGTGTGATAACCCCAGCAGCCCTTACGCGGGAGAAGCTACTGTCCCCGTGTACACAGGGGAGAAGGCTGAGGCTTGGAAGTAGCTTGGTCAGCAGGCACATGGGGCCCGGCCTCTCCTCCTGCCCCACAACCCCACTGTCGTCATGGCAGCACTGGGCAGTGAGAAGGAGGTGTTGGGCGTGGGGCCGCCCGCCTTTGCCCTCTCCTGCCCACCAGGACCCAGCCCCATCCTGACCAATGCCTGTCTCACGTCCTCTTGCCTTGGGTTTCCTCATCTATAAAACTGATGATGGTCCCATCATCAGTTACGGTTCCTGGCCCAGAGAGGCGCTTCACTGTTGTCCCTAGGGTCCAGAACCAGCTCTGGAGACTCAAGCCGGAAACCTTGGCTTGGTGGGCTTGGGTGCCCTGTGCTTGTTGGAGCTGGGCCTTGAACCTAGGGCTGCCTCCGTGTGGTACCCGCACTTCTTCCCCACTGTCCCATCCGCATTCATGGATGGTGCCTAGAGTGAGCACTCCCGGGCTTGCCTGGCACTGGCAGAGTGGCCCCAGCAGGAGGCAGAGCGTCATCGAGGCTGGGGCTGCATGGTGTCCCTCCCCCCGCCTGCCAGGTGCCTGGTGCACATCGTCCGCTCCACCTCCCTCAAGTACTCCAAGATCCGCCAGTTCCAGGAGCACTTCCAGTTCGACGTGTGCCGCCACGAGGTGCGCTACGGCTGCCTACGCGAGGACAGCTGCCACTTCGCGCACAGCTTCATCGAGCTCAAGGTCTGGCTGCTGCAGCAGTACTCAGGTGAGGGCCCGGCGCGGGCGCATGGAACGGCTGGGCTTCAGGGCTGGCCGGTGGCCGGTGGCCAGGGCGAGCTCCCTGGTGCAGCTGGTGCGTCCTGGGTGGTGCAGAGAAGACAAAGCCTCCGGGCTGGGACTGTCCTGGGTGCGGGAGAGAAGCAGAAGTGGGACCCTGGGCTGGGTAGACGTAGTTCCCACTCCAGCTGCTCCACTCGCTCTGGGTGCTTGTCAGCAAGTCAGTCCCCTGCTCTCCTGGGAAGTGGAGCCCATGTGCCTCACCCATCTCACGGGGATTTACCAGACAACCCTTTGTGCTGTGAACCACTGAGGCCCTTGCTCAGAGAGCCCAGGACAATCCACGCACAACCAGGCACAGAAACCCCCTACATCCTTTGACCTAGGACGCGCACCTGCCCCTCTGCTGTTGTAACTGAATCCACAGCATTCCTCTTGGGGGTGGGGCGTGTGGTACGGTCCCTGTCACCATTGCAGTCTTCCAGGGGTCACACTGACAGGAGGTCAGGTGCACATGAGAGCTGTGGTAAGACAGCAGGGGAGAGGGACAGGAAGTGGGGCGTCTCTGAGGGGGTGGCGTCTGAGCAGGGAAGTGTGTTCCAGGCAGAGGGAAAAACCAGTCCAGAGGCCCTAAGGCAGGAGTGAGCCATGTACAGGAAGAATTGGAAGGGGGGAGCTGGCAGCTTTGTGAATGGAGACCGTAAGGGGTGAGGCTCAGGGTTGGACCCAAGTCTGTAAGTCTCCATTTCTAGGTCTCAAATAGAAATTCCTGGGATTGTTCTATATATGATGTGCAGTGTCTGGAGGATTTTAAGTGGGTGTAGTTGTGTGATCTGATTAGTATTTTTCAAGTTTCTCTGACCACTGGGTACAGGATACAGGGGCAGGTCCAGAAAGCAGAGCGAGAAAGAGAGACATCTTCCATCAGCTGGTTCATTCCCCAAGTGCCCACAACAGCTGGAGCTGAACCAGGCCAAAACCATGAGCCTGGAACTTAATGTCCATCTCCCACATGGGTGACAGGGACCCAAGTACTTGAGCCATCATCTGCTGCCTCCCAGGGTGCACGTTAGCAGGAAGTGGGGCATGGGAAGCAGAGGCACTCACTCCAGATGGGATGTGCACATCTCAGCCACTGTGCCAAAGGCTCACCTCAAGATTCCGGGTATATATTTAAAATATTAATTATTTGAAAGGCAGAGTGACAGAGCAAGATCTTGCATCTGCTGGTTCACTCCCCAGATGGCCTCAACAGCTGGGCCAGGCTGAAGCCAGGAGCCAGGAGCTCCACCCAGGTCTCCCACATGCGTGGCAGGGACTCAAGTCCGTGAGCCCGTACCTGGTGCCTCCCAGGTGAGCTGGATCAGAAGCAGAGCAGCTGGTGCTGATACGGGATGCAGCTGCCCTGGCTGCACCACAGCGCCCGCCCCCTGGGCTTGTTCTGGTGGTGGAACCAGCGAGACTTGTCGGCCCAGATATGAGCACGAGACAAAGGACAGTGTCAAGTTCAAGTCTACCATGAGAGTAACTGGCGGAGTGAGGCTGCTTTTTCCGAGAAGGGGGAGGCTGTCAGAGGAGCAGTTTTGAGAGTAACACTGGGACTCAGTGTAGAACTAGGGTCTGAGCTGCCTGTTGGACTTCGAGTGACTGTGCTGGGCAGGCAGCGGACATGGGAACGGTCTGGGCTTAGATGCATATTTTGGGCTCGTCAGTGGGAACCTGCGTGTCAGGTGCAGTGCCTGGCTCAGTGATGAGTGGCTGCTAGGGATCAGCATCTAAAGGACAAGGCAGGAAGTAGAACGAACTGTGGGGAAAACACGATGACGTGGAGATGGGAGGGGAGGTTTCACGGAGCAGGCGCTGAGCAGGACCTCCAGGGTGGGCTCTGTATCCCTAGCCTGAGGCTGGTGTGGCTCTGATGGGGAGGGTCTGGGGACCCTCCGGGCACTAGCAGTGAAGAGCCCCGGTGCCTCGGTGAGCTGGTGAGCGAGCCTGGGGCAGGGGCTGCCGTGCAGGAGGTGGCCCCGCTGTAGGAGGCCGGGTCAGGGAAGGGGGCTGAGCTGCGGGCCCAAGAGACAAGGACACTGGCACAGGCGCAGGGCTCCCACACCGTGGCACGGAGCAGCCCCTTCCTACTGCATCTTCCCACTCTGAGCCGTGTTTTATCCCCTTGGCCCTTGTGAGGGCTCGGAGCAGGGCCCGCGTCCCCATTCTGCAGATAAGCAGGCGGGCCCAGAGAGGAGTCATTTCCTGCACCCCGTGTCTGTCCATGGCAGAGCCAGACAGGAGTGAGGCTCCTCCACCTGGGCCTCTGGTGGCACTGGCACCTTGGGGGGCCATCGTCTCGCTCCTTGACCAAACGCCTTCAAGGATGCCTGTCTGGCCCCTGCCCTCCCCAGGCATGACCCATGAAGACATCGTTCAGGAATCCAAGAAGTACTGGCAGCAGATGGAGGCCCACTCGGGGAAGGCCAGCAGCAGCTTGGTAAGGCCCAGGCACGGCTCACGGAAGGTGGTGAGGATGCCCTGGGGACTCCGGATGTATCCCTTCCTGGATTCCCCGGAAGTTACGATCTTTCCGATTCCACATCTGTTGTGGGTGTGTGGTTATACGGACACACACGTACATTCACGTACATAAATGGACACTTTTCCTGTCTTTCAGAACCATTTGAGAGTCAGCTGCAGATGTGTGTGTTCTGAAAATAAGCACTTTCACACGACCCCACTGCAGTCACCGACTAATGATTTGACTCAAAGTGCCTCCACTGTGAACTTCAAAAAAAAAAAAAAAATCTATTTATTTGAAAGGCAGAGTTTCAGAGAGGCAGAGGCAGAGAGGTCTTCCATCTCCTGGCTCACTCCCCAAATGGCTGCAATGGCCAGAGCTGGACAGGAGCCAGGAGTTTCCTCCAGGTCTCCCACATGGGTGCAGGGGTCCAAGCACTTGGGCCTTCTTCTGCTACCTCCCAGGTGAATTAGCAGGGAGCTGGATCGGAAGTGGAGCAGCCGGGACTCGAGCCGGCGCCCATACAGGATGCCAGTACTGCAGGCAGTGGCAGCATTACCCACTGCACCACAGTGCTGGCCCCTGAACTTTTTCTTTAAGATTTATTGATTTATTTGAAAGGCAGAGTTACAGAGAGAAAGGGAAAGAGAGAGAAAGAGAGAGAGAGAGAGAGAGGGAGAGAGAGAGAGACCTTCCATCTTCTGGTTCACTCTCTAAATGGCAGGGCTGTGCCAGGCTAAAGCCAGAAGCCTGGAGCTGCACCCAGGTCTCCTATGTGAGTGCAGGGGCCCAAACACTCGGGCCGTCTTCTGCTGCCTTCCTGGGCTCATTAGCGGGTCTCTGGATCAGGACTCCCAGGAGCTTCTGGGACTCAACCAGCACCCATATGGAAATGCCAGTGCTGCAGGCAGTGGCTTAACCTGCTGCACCACAGCACCAGCCCCATAAACTTGAACTTCCCCCTCTGTGACTGAGAATCCCTTCTGGGGAGATGGTGTGTGAATGACCCAGTACTTGCAAACTGCACCCCCAACCCCCGCCACATGTCATCTCTTGTCCCCCTTGATCCTAACCCTGGTCCTGAAGATGTGACCTATGGTACTGTGGCATTTGCAGAAGGGAAAACTCGGGCTCAGAGCCCAGGACTTGCCTGCTCCCTCCCTGCCTGCACCATTCCCACCCCATCACCCATCACAGTCCAGCCTGCCTGTCTCCCAGGGGAGTGGGCAGCCCCGTGAGCCCTGATGCCACAGCTCCCTGGGCAGCGGGATCTCAAACCGTACCTGACAGTGGGGACGCTGAGCTCAGAGGGGCTCAGGGGCTCAGGGGCCCAGGGGACAGCGATGTGAGGTGAGGCTGGGTGGCCCTTTCTCTCAGGGGGAGGCTGGGCCCCTGAGCCCCTGAGCCCCTGAGCCATCCCAGGTACGGCAGGGAGAGAGGTCTTCCGTGTCTGCCACGTCTCCTCGCTCCTAGGCCCTTCCCTCACTCTCCCCTCTCCCTGGTCTATCTCTTGTGACGTCTTTTCCTCTCCCCTCATTTCTTTTTGTGCCGTGAGGAGGGGCAGAGGCACCACCTGTGGCCTCGCCTCCTGCATCCCTCGGACCCCCGATTCCTGCCCGGTGGTGCTGCCAGGGCCCAGGGCCCGGGTGCAGGCCTAGCTGCCTGTGGGTGCCAGAAAGGGCTTCACCCGCCTCCTGCTGCCCACCCACCCAAGACGCCGGCTCAGGTGTGAGGCCTCTTGCTTGCTTCCTCTCCAGAGGGTGGGGCCTGTGGCTTGGGGAACCAGGGCCGAGTCCCTGCTCCGTGCCCCCCACAAAGCATGAGCACCTGCTGTGTGCCAGCCCCTGTCCTCACACAGCTCACCTGTGGCGGGTCGGCAACATCTCTGAGTTTGTCAGATGGGACCGTGAGCCCTACAGACGCAGGCCTGGGCCCAGACCTGGCCCAGCGAGGAGCCAGAGAACCAGTGTGTGTGGCTCACTGTTACAGCAGTGCGGCATCCCTTCTCACTCTTGTGAGAATCCGGGACCCTCTGGGGCCAATAGCAATAAGGCTAGCCCTCTGCCCACCGTAGCGCAGGCGGCGTCCCACTACGAAGGCCTGCGTTTACCTTGTCACTAGAGTGGGGCACTGTGCATCCCAGGTCCCAGGCAGGGCTCCGTCATCAGTGAGGACAGAGCCCCTTCCTGCTCTAAGACAGGCCTGGGCTGAGTCCTGGGGGTGGTCCACAGTGCCGGTGCTAGGAGTCCCTGCGACAGGAGACACACACTTGCCTGGAGGAGCCAGGGCTGCCCAGAGGATGCTGGGGCACTGGGGGCAGCTGGCACACACTTGGAGCAGCAGGCTGCCCAGCACAGCTGCGAGGGCACCTTCCCCGCCCCCGGCCCCTCCCTCTGTCCCAGGAGTGCAGGTAGAGCAGGACTTTCTGCCTGCAAAGCAAAGGCTGGGACAGAGGGTGAGGAGGGAACATGGGGGTGGGGCCTAGAGACATTAGACATAGCGCTGGAGGAGGGGCCAGGGATGCCCAGGTGTCTCCTCCCTGCCCCACCTCCACGGGGTGTTCCTCCTGCTGGACGCCTGAGTTCTTAAGGCCCAGTGCTCATAGCTGGATGCATCAATCAGCACAGGTAGTTTAGGGACTGGGAGTTCGTGGAACGGGCAGCTGTGACTTGGGAGGGCTCCAGGGAGGGCTTCCTTTTGGAGGTGTTGCAGTTTCTAGAACGAGCTGGGTGAAGAATGGAGGGAGGGCATTCCAGCAGGTGCGAAGGCAGGCAGGTGTGACGGGGGAGGCTGTGCCCGCGCAAGTGCAGCCGTTCCACCAAGCAGGCCTCCACAGGAGTGAGGTCTGGGGGGACGACCAGAGGAGGCGGGCAGAGCACCTGGCCAGGAGCCAGGAGCCCCCTGCAGGCTCCCACGCTGAGAAGCCCTGGAGGCCACCGTGTGCCTGGAGAGCCAGTCCATGCCAAGGCCCGGAGTGGCCCCCGCACTCCCAGAGGCGAGACCCCAGCGCGTCACAGGCTCCTCTCCCCACCCCCTGCAGGGAGCCCCTCGGAGCCACGGGCCCAGCACCTTTGACCTGCAGATGAAGTTCGTGTGCGGCCAGTGCTGGAGGAACGGGCAGGTGGTGGAGCCTGGCAAGGACCTCAAGTACTGCAGTGCCAAGGCCCGGCACTGGTGCGCGGGGCCCAGGCAGGGCTCGGGCGGGGTGGGCGCGCTCGGGGAGATCACATAGCCCCAGGCCCTGCCCTGACCTCTCGCCGCCGCCTCCCCTCTGTCCTACCTACAGCTGGACCAAGGAGCGGCGGGTCCTTCTGGTGATGTCCAAGGCCAAGAGGAAGTGGGTGTCCGTGAGGCCCCTGCCGTCTATCCGCAACTTCCCACAGCAATACGACGTGAGCCGGGAGCCGGGGTCAGGGCTGTGGGCCTGGGAGGGCCTGCCCGCCAGCCCGGGCAGTGATGCCGCCCGGTGGACTCAGCAGGCTCCCCTCCCCCCAGCTCTGCATCCATGCGCAGAACGGCCGCAAGTGCCAGTACGTGGGCAACTGCTCCTTCGCACACAGCCCCGAGGAGAGAGACATGTGGACGTTCATGAAGGAGAACAAGAGTGAGTGACAGGCTTAGGGCCCCCACCCCAGCGGTGGGCAGCCCAGCCCCGGCAGCCCTCCCTCTGCCACCTGCCCTCCTCCAGCCTCACCAGCTGGGCAGGGGTCCTGGGGCAGAATGCACGGAGAAGCCCCTCACCAGGCACTCTGTCCCCCATCCCCTGCCCAGTCCTGGACATGCAGCAGACCTACGACATGTGGCTGAAGAAGCACAACCCAGGGAAGCCGGGGGAAGGGACCCCGATCAGCTCTCGGGAAGGGGAAAAGCAGATCCAGATGCCCACGGACTATGCTGACATCATGGTAAGGCCCCGTGTCGGTGAGCCCGGGGCCCTGGGCTGGGCCCGCCCAGGAGGGGCCGGCAGCGTGGGGCGTGGGCGTCCATGGTGCTGTGTCCCCAGATGGGCTACCACTGCTGGCTCTGCGGCAAGAACAGCAACAGCAAGAAGCAGTGGCAGCAGCACATCCAGTCGGAGAAGCACAAGGAGAAGGTCTTCACGTCCGACAGCGACGCCAGCGGCTGGGCCTTCCGCTTCCCCATGGGCGAGTTCCGGCTCTGCGACAGGTGCTGCAGGGAGGCAGGCCCGCGGGAGGGGGGCCCTGGCCGGCCCTGGCTCCTTGTGGTCTGGCAGTGGCATGCTGGGGGTGGAGGTGGGTCTTGGATGTGGGGAGAGGGGGCAGCAGCAGGTGGCTCAGCGCTGGGTGAGACCCCAGAGAGGGCCGGACGCCCGGGTGCTCCCTGAGTTGGCAGGGAAGGTACTCGGGAGAGGCCTGTTTGGGAGGGTAACCAGCTGGGGCAGGAAGGGCCCAGAACTGGGACAGTGAAGTCTCCGGCTGCCCGCAGGCTCCAGAAGGGCAAGGTCTGCCCAGACGGGGACAAGTGCCGCTGTGCCCACGGGCAGGAGGAGCTCAGCGAGTGGCTGGACCGGCGCGAGGTCCTGAAGCAGAAGCTGGCCAAGGCCCGCAAGGACATGCTGCTGTGCCCGCGAGATGACGACTTCGGCAGGTACAACTTCCTGCTGCGAGAGGACGGGGACACCACCGGTGCCACCCCAGAGGCCCCTGCTGCTGCTGCCTCTGCCGCCGCCGCCGCTGCCACCACCACGGGGGAATAGGGCCAGGTCTTGGCTGTGGGCAGAGTCCTGGGGTCGGGGGTAGGGGTGGGAAGAGAAGGCCTCATGGAAGGGCTAGGGCAAGCCAGCTGGGGGTGGGGGATCGACCTCATCAGGCAGCCCCTTGCCCCCTGGGGCCCATCCATCCTCCCTGCCCCCACTGCCCCCTGTGCGCATACCCAGGTGCACACGCTGCAGCCCCAGGCAGTCCCAGGGTCTGTATCCTGCTGAAACCTGGGCAGACCCTCCCCCACCCCCGTGGCTCTCCTGGTTGGGGTGGGAGAGGCCTGGCTGACCCCTCCAACTTCAGCTTACAGCTTTAACTTCTGTCTGCTCCTACAGGGGGCCCAAAGCTCAGGGCTGGGGAGCCTGGGGTCCCCACTTGAATCTGCAGCAAGAGGGGCTTTCTCCTTGGTCCCCCACCCTATCCCCTTGCCCTGAGGGCAGATTAGGATACCACAGAGGGCAGGGGACCCTGATTAGCTTTAAAATGCAGCCCCAGGATGGAGCCAGGGGACACTTACCCCCCCCCAGGCCCCAGTTTCCCCTCTGGCTAGAAGGGTGGGAGAGGCTGGACTGGTGATTTCTGGAGCCTGGTTGAGGAGTCTTGATTCTGTCCTTGATGCCCCCGCCCCGGCCCTTCTTCCTCGTGGGCAGTTGAACATAGACTGGAGCCTTCAGCCTTTGGATGGGTCCCAACCCAATCTCCACTTTGCAGACACGAACACTGAGGCCCAGGGGAGGAGTTGGTCTGCCCAGGGTCTCTGGTCCACTGCTGGAGGCGGAGCTGGGATGAATGGGGGAGAGGCCACAATGCTCAGGGCCAGTCACTGGCTGGAGCCCTCAAGCCTCTTGGCAGGCAGGGATGGGGCCGTCTCTGAGTCAGGGTGCAGTGTGGGGGAGGGGTCCCTGGAGGCTGGGGACGCGCAGCTCTCATCAGTACCCCCTGGAGGGCAGAGGCGGCAGAGGACCGTGCTGGTGAGCTCAGGTTCTACAGGAGGTGCAGTGGTGGGGAGGGGAGGGCCTGGGGGACTTGGAGAGAAGAGATGACCCTGGCACCTGGGCCACTCCAGGACGGCACATGACCCCTCTGTCCTGGCGACCATCGCGATCCTCTGCCCTCAACCCAGACACACCATGTGTCCATCTGTCCCAGCTCTTCCCGATGCCAGCCCTGCCAGCTGCCTGGGACCCCAGCTGACCCCAGCCTTTGCCCTTACCCACTAAGGCCTCTCCTGTTCCCCTCGTCTGACGTGCCTGTGTGTACCCCTTCCTTTCCATTCCATGCCCCACGGGAAGACTCAGCCTCCCCTGGCTCCCCAAACATTCCAGAATGCCCCAGGCCGTTGGCACAAGGAGCGGGACACCCCCGCAGACACCCAGGGACCAAGGCAGGGTGGGGGTGAGACGGAGAGAACAGAATACCCATGCTTCTCCCCAAGCAAAGACCGATCGTGCGGTGACAAACGAGGGGCACCAGGGCTCTGGAGGACCCTGCTCCTCATTGCCACCGCCGCCAGCCTTTTCCCGACAGCTGTGGCTTGCTCCCTTGTCTCCTCCCCGCCCCGCCCCAGCAGGCCAGCACTGCAGAGTCTGGGTGCTGGTGGCCTGCCTGGGGGGAGGAGAGACCACCGCCCAGGTGGGGGCCGTGCCGTGAATGGCATGACACTCGTCCCCCTGACCCGTGGTGTTGTAGTCCGTCGTCACCAGCCTTGTTCTAGTGTGTATATATGTCGCCCCGTGATGCATATATACACAGGTATTAAATATATCGCTCTATATAATATTATATATGTGTGTGGTATCCAAGGAATCACTTCTAATGAGGGCTAAAGATAAAGAAACGGCCAGAAGAACGCAGCCATTCTTGCGTGGGGGGTTGTTTCCCCCGCTGTTGGTGAGGAGCTGAGCCCCGGAGCCAGGATTCAGAGGTGATCGGATTCAGGCAGCGGTGGTGGGAGCGCCCCCACCCCGGGGCCCAGCTCTGCCGATTGCTTCCTGGACCACAGCGTGCAAGAATAATCAAACTTGCCAAAGAAGTAGGCTGCAAGTCCAGGGTGTCCGTCTGCAGCTGTGATCGGACCAGGGGCCCTGTGGGCAGGGAGTTAGGGGGAAGGGCACGGCTTCAGCTGTTGCCCCTCTGAGGCCTGTGCCCACCCCTGGTGGCAGGGCCAGGACAGCATGGCACGGTGGGGTGGGGGCGGGGCCTGCGTTTCTCAGCTGGCAGTAATCAATTTAATGGTCCTTTTTAAAACATCTGTGTATTAAAAATTTAAGAATACCACACTTTAATATTAAATATCATAAGGTCTAGTATCTTGATAATAATGTAGATGTTTTAATAACAATTTTTGTCCTTCTTAAAATAAAATGAAAGAAACTTGATTCTTTTAGCCTTTGTTCTAGAAAATAAACGCGCGCACTTTGACCCCAGTCCCCGAGGTGTTGCTCCTACTCCTCCCCAGCTGGCACTCGCGCCCGGCGCCCTGGGCTGCTCTGCACCCGTGGGGCAAAGCTGGCGGGCGCTGGCTGCGCCTGAGGCTGACATTCCGAGGGGTGAGGGCGGCCCGTGTCCCTGTGTACACAGAGGCCCAGCTGACCCCGCGCAGGCAGCACTGTTGGCCAGGACAAGCTGTGCTCTGCACAGTGGCCCCAGTGCCACCGTCCGCCGCCTCTCCCCACCTGCTGGATCTTTGCCAGCGATGCTGCCCTGGGCTGTGCCCCTGGTGGAGGCAGCTCCCTCAGCGGAAGGGCCGTGCGCGCGTCCTGGCCGCACCCCCGACTCCCCGAGGCTGGAGCAGCCTGACGTCAGGTGGGCCCCCAGTTCCCTCACCTTAGGAGGAGTGGATGCATTACAGCAGGGGTTCGGGGCGGGGGGAGTCCTGCGGGAGGGGCTCTCACCGGGTAGCGCTCAGGAGAGGCCCGAGGCCAGGGAGTCAGCCAGCTGGGTCTGCAGGAGGCGCTCCGGTGCCTGATACAGGATGGGAGGGGGCGCTGAGCAGCTCGGTCACCGCAGGACTGGGGCGGCTGTCCCTTCACCACAGCCCTGCAGGAATGGAGTGAGCGTCCCTTCTCACCACAGCCCTGCAGGAACGGAGTAAGCGTCCCTTCTCACCACAGCCCTGCAGGCCCGGGGTGGGTGTCTCTTCTCAGCGCAGCCCTGCAGGTACGGGGTGGGAGTCCCTTCTCACTGCAGCCCTGTAGGCCCGGGGCAGGTGTCCCTTCTCACCACAGCCCTGCAGGCCCGGGGCAGCTGTCACTTCTCACCGCAGCCCTGCAGGACTGGGGCAGCTGTCCCTTCTCACCACAGCCCTGCAGGCATGGGGCAGGCATCCCTTCTCACCACAGCCCTGCAGGCCCGGGGCGAGCGTCCCTTCTCACCGCAGCCCTGCAGGACTGCCGAGCACCCTTCACAGCCTCCGCAGACAGTGAGGGTTTCAGGGACTCCTGGGAAAGAGGCAGAAAAAAAGATGGAGAACCTCCTGGGAATTGGCTGTCGGCAGAGGTGCCCTTGGCTCTGTTCTTCTGGCGTTCTTGGCTCCCCGACTGCACTGTGCAAAACTAAGTGGTGCGGGAAGCTGCAGCCCCTCCTGGGGCTGGAGAGAGAATGGCTTGCAGGAGGAAAGTCGAAGAGCAGTTCCGGGGACCTCGTGGACTAAACCTCAGTTCCCTTAAGTTCCCGCCTGGTCCTCGTTTGGCTTGGGTTGGTCAGCATTAACTAGGCACCCACTGCACCCTCACTCCTGGCATCCAAGACTGTGGGAGAAGCTGTGGCTGTCTTGAATCCAGGCTGCTGGCAGGGGTGGGGGGCGACCTACATAGAAGATTGTGGGGTAATGGGTGATGTGATGGGCACCGTGGTGGGAGACACTCAGCAAGCCAGGGAAGGCTCATCCAGGCTGGGAAGCCAGGTGGACTTCCTGGAGGAGGAGATAGAACTGGAATTCAGGCTTCCAGAAACTCGTGTCATTGTTAATTAGTGCGCATGTAATGCTGTGCATCTTTTTCTCTTCATTCTGGGCCACATCTGTGGTTCCAGGCACCAGGGCCACCTGGATATTTGGTCAGTGGCTGAGATAGACCCCGTCAGAGGGCCCCCACTTGCTGAACGCAGGCCCACTGCTGGTCTTCAGCCTTGGAAGTAGAGACCGCAGTGAGGCCCACCCACAGTGCACCACTGCCAAGGGGCCTGGAGCGAGCCAGGTGTCTCGGGAGCCTGCAGGTGCGGCTCGGGTGGCCCTGGAGGGTTCTCCCTAACCTGCTTCCACACCCCGCTGTTCCCCACCAGGGAGGCCCTGTGCAGCTTCCCAGGAAGTGTCCCCAGGCCCTCAGGAAAGGGCAGCCCGGGACACTGGACCCACATGCTGGCTGGCAAGCTGTGTCCAGCTTCACTGGCCCCTTCACTTCTGCTGGCCAGGGAGAGAGCAAAGCACAGAGACAGTTGGTTTTGGGTTTTTAAAGATTTATTTGAAAGGCAGAGCAGCAGAGAAAGAGGGACCTTCAGCCCACTCCCCAAATGCCTGCAGCAGCCGGAGCCGGGCAGGCTAACGCCAGAAGCCAGGAGCTTCTTCCAGGTCTCCCGCAAGGCTGATAGAGGCCCAAGCACCAGGGCCGTCTTCCACGGCCTCCCCAGGCACATTTGCAGGGAGCTGGATCAGAAGTAAAGCAGCCAGAAATGAGGACAATCCCCACACACCTGCCGTGTGGCCCCTTCCGGACGTGTCCGGGGATGTGCCTGCCCGGCCCTTCCCCCCCCCCCCCCCCACCTGACCATCATTGCCACTGCCAGCTGGACACCGAGCACACAGCAGGGGTGCCGCTGAGGGCATTCAGGGGCACAGGCGTCCTCTAAAGGCGGGGAGTTTGCTGAGGAGGCTTGGTGTTTGGTGTTGAACTCCCGGGGTCCAGCCTGGTGAGCAGGGTACTTGTACGACAGGTGGGGTCTGCGGAAGGCTCACAGGCGCGAATCCCCCGGAAGGGCAGCGCCAGGCAGCAGGGGCATTTCTGAGACACTGAGGGTACTTCCTGTTGTCTCTGAAGTCTCGCTCTGTAGCTGCCTGCCCATTCCACCCTTGTCAGCCAGAGCTTGCACTCCAGGGCTCGTAGGCCAGGAAGTAGTTAATGCACCAACTCACCTGAGTCAATGCTGTCTGCAAATCACAGGTAAACTCAAAGCAGCCTGCACCGGGCCCTCTGTACCCATACTCCCAGGGACACGGCGGGCGCCAGCTTGGGCCCTGGCTGGAACAGAACAGAAAGGGGGCCTTGCTTTTGCCATGACCGAGTATCACTACATCCTCAAAGCATACAGCTCTGGGAGTTAAGCCGCTGCCTGCAGTGCCAGCATCCATAGGACTGCCTGTTCGAGTCCCGGCTGCTCCACTTCTGATACAGCTCCCTGTTAATGTTCCTGAGAAAGCAGAAGACGGCCTGAGTACGTAGGCCCCGTCACCACCTGGGAGACCCAGATGGCGTTCCAGGCTTCTGGCTTTGGCCTGGCCCAGCTCTAGCTATTACAGGCATTTGGGGGAGTAAACCAGCAGATGAAAACTCGCTCTCTCACTCTGTCAAATAAAATATTTTTTTAAAGACAGCATTTTATGAAAAGATTTATTCATTTGAAAGGCAGAGTTAGAGAGAGAGAAAGGGAGAGACAGAGGTCATCCATCTGCTAGTTCACTCCCCAGATGGCCACCATGTCTGGGGCTGGGCTAGGCTGAAGCCAGGAGCTTCTTCCAGGTCTCCCACGTGGGTGGCAGGGCCCCAAGCACTTGGGCCATCCTCCACTTCTTTCCCAGGCGCATTGGCAGGGAGCTGGCCGGGAAGTGGAGCAGCCGGGACTCACCCACATGGGATGCCCATATCACAGACAGAGGCTTTGCCTGCTATGCCACAACCCTGGCCTCTAAAATAGAATCTTTTTAAAAACAAAGAAATAAATTAAATTTGTTATGGGGGCAGGGATAAAAATGATGTCTCTGAAGTATGTACTTTATCAAAACTTTTGAGCCTTGAGCCATATACTGGTTTTTTTAGTCAAAGGTTAAGAATATTAATTTTTAATTATTTGAGAAAAGACCATAATCCGGGGAGTATCATTTTGGGGGGAAGGAGGGCACGGAGAGGATACGCTGGGTGCTGTCGGGAAGGGGAGAGGCTGGAGGGGGTCTTGGATGTTTTTGATTCTGAGCAAATTGGAATTTTGGGCAGCAGCAAAGAACTGCACAGGAGTCAGCTACAGCAGACAAACCTGTGCTTATCACACGCAGCCCAGAGCCGCTGAGCCGGAGCGCGAGCTGGAGGGGGCCTTCGAGGTCACTGCTTGCAGCAGTTTGGGAACTGGCACCAGAAGCTCGGCTCGGCTCGGCTCGTCCAGGATTCCACACCAGTGTCTGGCAGAATCCAGCACCTGATGTCCCCCGGCCAAGTCTGGCTTCACTCTGACGTTGGTCTCAGGTGGATGGAAACAGAGCGCGGACTTCACCCACACGCCCAGGTGGCCTGGGCCCACAGAGGCCAGACAGAGTGCTGGCAGGAGGGCAAAGGAGCGGACTCCAGCCAATGGCCAGTAGACGGGCTGGGAAGCAGGGATGCCTCGTCCAGGACAAGCCTGGTGCTCCCCTCCCAGCGCGCCTCTGCCAGGCACCTGCCTCTTCCCTCTTCTCCCCAGAACACCGAAGAACTCCAGGCTGCAGGTCTTTTGCACTCGCCTTTGGAGAGCAGGCTTCCGGCTCTGCAGATGGCAGATAGCCCCAGCTACACATGCCACATGCACACTCCCGTGCATTGCAGTGCGCGTGTGCACGACACACACACACACACACACACACACACACCAGCATCAAAGCACGCCACAAGCCTTCGGGGCTCACAAGCCCTTGGGTGACTGCACAGTGCCCGGTAGTGCCCCTGCACACACCAACACAACGAGGATCTTCTGTGCTGAGCTACTGTCTTGCCTGCCCTCCTCTGTCCTCCCTGGAGCCCCGGGCCCCAGCCCAGGATGGCTGCCGTGGTGGGCCCTGCTCTCTGCCGTGCCTGGGCTGCCAGGGCCCCTCCACCCTGTGCCGAGCCTGCTCGCTGTGGGCGTGGAGCTGTGCTCACCGTTCTCATCTGGCAGCCCTGGTTATGGCTCCCAGCCTGGGGAGAATTTCCCTTCGCAAAGTTAGATAACAGGCCGGGTTCTCTGTCAGAGGATTGGCGCGGTGGCTCCACGTGCTGCAGCTGGCGCAGGGCCAGGTCCGCCCAGCCAAGCAGCGGGAAGGGAAGGCCTGGCTGCAGCCGGAGCTGGCAGGTGGCCGAGCCGGGGGTGGACGGGCGGGCCGGGGCCGGTGCTGCCCATTGGCTGCCTCAGGCCCCCACCCCGCCTGCCTCCCTAGCCTGCG